AGTATCTTCAAAAAGGGCACAGTCTGTGAAAACATGTAAGTTTTTGAGTAAAGGCTATTTCCATGATCAATCCTAACTTCTTACATTTAAAACTTTTTATTTAGGAGCCATTTGCTCCTTTCATGAGGATGACATTTGCTGGGAGTTATTGTCCCCTTCATCCTTTAAAGGGTAAGCTGATTGAAATACACAGTTTTTTTAACCTAGTTCAAACGTCCTGAGAAAAAGAACTCTTTTGCTCTCCAAAAGAAACCCAAGAAACAAAAACCACAGGTATTTACTGATATGGAAAACTTATCAGTGAGGAAAGAAACACAGGGAACTCCACAAAATGACCTCTGAAAAAAGTTTGTGGTTCTGCTGTCAGCAGAGGGCTTAAAAGAGCTGCAGAGGGTCTAACATCTATGAAGAGCTGTACCTACTTCTTCTTCTACTGCTAAAAGCTTCTGCAGTACTCGCCACTCACTCTTCCACAATTCCCAAGTGCTGTCCATTTCCGCTCATGATGCCGTCCCCCTGAGTGCTGGCACCCTCGGCTGCTGCCAATTGCTGCCCAGCTTCAGTCTGAAATACCCTAAGTGTAACTGCCTTAATTAAGCTGCGGAAGTATGTGTTTTAAAGGTCAAGAGTTCCCAATCAATCCTAGGAATTTAAGAAGGGGATAATATTGCCCAAAGACACTAAGCAAAACTTGATCTTCTAGAGATACTTGTTTCATTTTCAAAGGTCGAGAATGAATACAGATTCTTGATATTCTTTGGTATAAGAAAATACCAGGGATATATTTCTTTGACTCAGTAAGAAGTCTGGCATATGATCTATTAAATGTAATGTTAACAGGGAGAGAAGTGCTTTCCTCGGTAGACCTCCCTAATAAGCACAACCCTGAAGGATGACAGGATGCTACAGACTCAAATGCTGTGTATAAATGTTTTCTTGTAGATGTGCTACAGACTGACAATTGAGACACATACACATAATAACATAAATACTTATTTAAAAGGTAGTAATTTGTTTCCACAATGTCATGCTCTCTGAGTCACTTCTTTCAAAGACATGGAAGTTAATGAATGCCTACCAGGAGTAAAAGAACTCTGACTATCTTGCAGATGTCAGAGGTTTAATAGACTTAAGTGTTCCTCTTTTTTCACTGGAAAAAAAGTGTAACTGAAACAGAAAATAACAGCTAATGTGTAAGAGGTAGGAAATTGTATCCCAGTGATACTGAAATTCTCAACTGATATCTGAATTCATAGATGTTACTCTTTTAAAAGGTTTCATTGCTGTTTTGTACATAAAGTCTTGAAGGGAATGAAGACTACAAATCAAAAAGGTATATTGTTTCTTTGTACAGGAAATATTTAGAAACTACAGTGCCAGTGAATTATGACCACAGGACTCAGCAGTAAGCCTTAAAATTTTAGGTCCTTATTAAAAAAAGCAATTATTTTTTCAATTTTTTCCTCAAACAAGAGATTACTTTGATGCACTACAGCTTCTTGGCTTCAGACAAGGGACAGAAAGTTGAGAAAGCAATTACAGTGTTAAAAAACCCCTAAAATCCTAACCTGTTCTAAAGCACTGTCTTTCTTTCTTTCCTGTTCAACCCATGTATTTACGAAACTTATCACTTAAGTAACACCTACTTAATGTACCAAGAAATGTAATAGCGGATAGAAATTTTTTTTGGCTTTGCTCCCTTTGGTTTGAAAAAGAGGAACTGAAGATGATTATGTGGGTTGGGCACTTCAGTCACAAGTTGCTTACATGCATGACTACCCTTCGAAATTTCTCTTTACTTCATTATTTTTGACTCACACATCATTGACACAAGGCCTGTGACAATAGGAGACTGCAAAGACCATGAAGAATGATTTTGAAATAATTCATTTGACAGCTATGTTTGTGGGAAAGAACATCAGTAAAAGTGCTGTACAGGTACTGCAGCCTTTTCATTACATGAAGAGCAAAAAGCTTCATTAATTTTTGATGTCGGGTATCTCACGTTTGAATAATTATATATTCCTTCTCATGAGAAGCTTAGAAGGTCTCCTCCTAGATAATTAATTATAGTCTTGCGTCTAGTGAAGAATCACAGGAAAAATACAGTCTTCAACTAAAAAAACCCCAGTGTATTGAGGGGATCTGCACAAGGACCACATGTATTACAATAATTTACCAACAGCATTGTGTCTTATCAGTATATTCTAATAAATTACTTTTATTTATATAATAAATATATAATAATTTATATATATATATATATTTATATATATATATCTTTAAAGATGGACCTTGTTAATAATTACAAAAAAACCCTAAAAACCACAACCATTTGATAGAATAAGTAACTTTGTCATCTGAAGAACTGTTTAAATATCAATAAAATTTTGCCACAAAATCAGATCAATTTTCTGTCAGCCTTCTTAGAAAATCAGGCTGCCTGGAGGACACAGAAATCTATAATGCACAGTTATTCTCTAAGAGTAAAAATGTTCCTGTACATTGCATTTCCATGGAAGAATTTAACAGAATTTTGCCTTTTGGATGGTACAAAGTAAATTAATGTCACTATTTGAAATCAGATTATTTAGGAATAACATCAAAGAGTAATTTAATTTTAATTCTGAAAAGCAGTCATCTATTCCATTTCTAAGTCAGGTCCAATTATACCAGTTTGCTCAGGAGTTTGTTGAGTTCTGAACATCTCCAAGGATGAATATTCCACCACCTCTCTAGGCAACCTGTTCCAGTATTTGACCATCCTTACAGTTAAAAGCATTTTTCATAATAGCTAATTGAGTTTTCCAGTGCTCCATCTGGTGTTCATTGTCTCTTACGCTATTGCTGTGCACCTCTGAGCTCAATCAGGCTCTGTTGTCTCTGTACCATCCCATTTGGTAGTTGGAGACTACAAGTTCCTCCTGTAAGTCCTCTAATATTAATGCTGTACAAGTCCAGTTCTTTTCATCTCCCCTTCTACATCAGGTCTTTCAGCCCCTGACCATCTTGGTGCACCTCTGCTACACTGCAATATGTCAATGCCTTTCTTGAACAAGCCCAAAACTGGATGCAAGACTCCAGATGTGACATCTCATGTGGCGAACAGAAGGGAAGGATCACTTCCCTGCATCTGCTGGCTATCCTGTTGGTAATAACCACCCAAGATGTGGCTGGCTAGCACATTACTGACTCATATTTCATTTCTTGTCCACTAGGACCTTGTCTGTTTCTGTTAAGCTGCTTTGCAGCAGTATTGGCATATGGGGTTATTACACTCTGGATGTGGGGCTGCAATTGCTTTTGTTGAACTTCATATAGTTTGTGTTGACCCAATTTCCTGCCTGTTGAGATCCTCTGAGACCTTTCCTTCCAGTGTATAGACTACTCCCTCAAATCTAGTATTGCCTGTGAAGTTGCCAAGGGACTATTCCAGTAGGACATGGCATTGTGGTTCATGTTTTGTTCAGGTGGGTATATCACCTACCTTACAGTCTATCTCACCAATTTGTCTATAAAGACACCATAGGAAAACAAATTGTAAATACTGAAGATTCCAACTAGTATCTGGCCTAATAGCTCAGAGTCCTTCTAGATAATACAATTTATTAATTATTCATTGATAACAGACAAACAGAATAGTATGGGATGTTCAGTTATGGCCTGAATAATATAAATTATCTATTACAACCCACAAAATTAGTATTTGCATATGTGAGCTGTTTCATAAGAGATAAAGTTAAGGATTCTAGTCACAGAAAAATATATGTTAGATAAAACCTAGACTTCAGGAAACCAGTTACCCAGAAATTACTGTACTGAAGGTTTGTGAGCCCAAAAGTTTGTGTGATTTTTTCCGCAGTGAACAGCAGTTAGTCTAATAAAAGATTATCACCTCTTGTTTATGCACTTGGCCTCCCTCATTCACAGAATGATAATTTTAAACCTGTAATGTGCAATGCCAGCATTTTTACCTTGGTCTCTCAGAACATGAAAAGGAAAGAAAAAAAGGAAACGGAAGCTTTCCTGGAGGAAAGAATTATTACTGTGCTTCAACTGTTTGGAAAATGGAAAAAATGTATCTGAGAATCATAAGCTTGATATAGCTCAGTATTATATAGTAAATATTTATTGTTCATGTTCAGGCTAGAAAAAATAATCAATTTAAGAGATGTTGTCTAGGAAAAAGGTGCTAAGAAGGAACTTTCTCTTAAATGAAATCTGAACAATATTTTCAGTAGGCAGTACTTAAAAGATCTATATTTACGTTATACATAGAAATGTACCATATGCAGTCAAGAATGCTTTGAAAAATTAGAGAACTTTTGTATTGTCAGAATAGATGGGGGAGTGGAATAAAAAAGCAGAATGTGTTCTTGGATTTTGGGTCTTATTTTCATACAATTAAATATAGTAAGTTACCCGTTTCCCATTACACACTACAGTCCTCACCCATCATGGTTCTATTTTTATTATTACATTGATGTAACTACACTACTGTCTAGCCCCTTAAGTATCAGTGCTGATAATTAAGATGTATTTTATTGCTTCTTTAAAGTATTTTTAATGCCTGTTTGGTTATACAAATGTCATCAAGTGATAAACTACAAATCAAGGCCAGTAAGAATGTTTTTTCCCAGCTGACATGAATTTCCTTCATAGAAAGTATGATATAGTTTGATACTAATGCATGTATATTTTGAAAATTTCCATTAGCCAAAATAGTTGCAAGGAATGTGGCATGAAACACAGGGTCCAGGAAAAACAATATAAAAAGGCTGAAACATATGTTTATTTGAACACTCTGAATAACACATCCTTTAACTGCCCAGTTTTATAATGTGTACAATACACTAATGTTTATTTATCTTTTAGAATTCAAATAAATGTTAGTAAAATTATTGCATGCATCATTTTCACATATTTTATTCACATGACAGATCTAGAAATTATTTTATGAAGCCCAAGATTATTTGACAGTTAAAAAAGAAACAGTGAAAACCAAAAAGGGTTTTAACTAAATGTAAAATGGGTATCATTATGGTGAAAATAACTTTCTTTAATGAAAAGCTCCCTAAAGAATTGTTTTGAATAACTTTGGAAAAATCCTATGGTGATGTTTTCTTCTGCAGTTTTTTGTACCATACAGGTGCCTCTTTATTTGTCTGTAAAAGAAAGAATATTTAGTTGTGAGATAGTGAACAGATGAAAAGCATGCAATCTACACAATTTAAATAATTGACACAAGTCTTCCCCCTTCCTATGTAGTTCACAGTTGAGTTCTTTGCTTAAATGCAAATATCAAAAACAAGACTACGCATTTAAAGTTACTATTACAACATACCAGTAATAAAACCTTCCTATTTCCAGGTTATAAAAAGCAGATTATACGGTGAAAACAAAATAATTTAAAAAATACCTGTCACAATGAAAACAAGCATCAACTGTGCCAGAAATAGATTTCATTTGAAGTAACATCATCTGTGTTTTCCAGCTGAGAAAGGAATGGATCTTGGAAAAGAGACCTTAGGTGTGCCAAAACTGACCAACACTTTATGCAAAAATATAGTTCTTAAAAATTTTTTTTAAAAATTGAAAATAAAAGAAAACAGTAGTTTTCTAACTCTGTAGAAAATATTTTAATTGCAGAGAATTATCTTTGAGCAACTTTTCTTTGCCTTCATAATCCTATGGGTTACTGCTACACAGTCAGGATTGCTTGTGGCAAATTCAGTGGTTTGAATAAAATAAAATAGCTTAAGTTTTAATAGAAAAAAGATGAATCAAGCGGAGGTGGAACAAGGTAAGGACTATTCTCCTTCCAGGGCTGGGTATAATCTCTTGAGTTAGTGAGCACTGTCTCTGTTGTCCTTCAGCTTGTTCCTTTCTAGTTCCATTTTCTGACTGCTCTCTATTCATTCTTTCCTTCAAGACTTAAAAAGCATACAATTTGAAAATCTGCTTTATTAATTTTGAAGATTTCAGTTAGAAAAACAAATCTGCTCTATTTGTACAAGCTTTTAGAATTCTGGAAATTGACCTAAACTGGCAGGATTTTCATAGTACTGATTTTTTTTTCCCGTCTAAGAAGAAAACCTGTGCCATCTGCCCATTTTCAATTCCCTACTCCAAAGTTTGCAAAGGCTAGAGTTTTTTACAGATAAATTGGTTACAATTTCTTAATGTAAATGGAGTTTTTCTGGATTCCTACATAGTTTCTATATCCCTAAGTAATACAAGACAGATTATGCACTGAAATCCCAGATCATCTGCACAAACTGTTTGCTTATGTTTTGGATCAGTGAATAGTTCAATCAAAAACAAAGTTTGGGCACTATGATTTAGCACTACCAAAAGGAATATGGATGACACAGCACTGGATAAGCCTGTGTTTAGTATAATAATGCAATTCAAGCAAAATTTGAACTAAAAATTTGATTCTTAAAATCCCCCAATCTCCTCACATCATGTCCCAGAGATGCTACCGTTTCCTGCTTTCTGTTATAAACCCAGTATGTGGTGAGCTACACTACAAACCTTGTATCATTTAAGACACTGTATGTTAAAGTCTCCACCAGGAAAGAAAGAAAAAAGGACAAAAGAAGAAAAAAGATTTCTCTTTGGACCAAATCAGCACATATGTTATGCAGTGTGGATACACCCAGTCCACCTCAGAGAAAGGCAGCATCCTGAAGTTTGTAAATAAGTCATGATTTGTTTTGTGATTCAGCATTGCAACTTGGCTGTCTTGAATCTATCAGTTCAGACACAGCCATAGTCAGAAACTTCTAAACCATTTTCATGAAGCTTTCCAGAAGCACTAAATCTGAAGTGGGCCGCTTCAAATATTAAAATCCAAGCTTTTAGTTTCTGAAGGAATAAAACAGGGTTTTATAATGGTTTCATAACATCAGGCTTTCGTAGCAGAAGATATATCAATACTGGTGATCTATTTTTAATCTATATTTAGATACATATGCACATACAAATTAATATACATCAAGTAAAGTACGCAGAAATACACCTATTTCTTCACTCCTGCTTCTCAATATGGATATGCATAAAGCTCACTTACAGGCATAGTAGATTTAAATTAGTATACATGGTCTATGAATCCCTACAACTACCAAAATCTTACTAGCCACTCAGTATTGTAATACAACAATGGTATTTTTTTTAAAAAAAGATCTGGTTTGCTGTGAAGTTAAGATTTTGAAAGTAAACAAATTACTAAAAAACATCACAAACTCTAATTCTTCTCAACATTGGCTGTTTCCATAAAGAGATGAATTAATTATGCATCTCCCTGAAGGATAAATCTACATTTTTCTTTTTAAGAAGTGAAGAGAACCATAACAAGTTTTGGCACTTACTCTTATCATAGTACTTACAAATAATGTTGGCTTAGGTGTAAATATATTTTCTTCTTCATGTTCTGGCAGCAGTTTTACCAAAGGGTTTGATCTTCTTCCAGTTGCCCTTTTTACATCAATATGAGACTGAGGTAGATTTTGTTCATAGCGTTTACCATGTAGAGTAATAATAATCTGCTTCATTGTGGCTAGTTCCTATAAAACCACAAAAGAACAATGCTAAGTTATTCAGTTAAATTACATTTGAACCTATAAATATTTATTTGTTAATAATTAATTTATAATCACTAAACATGGATTGGTAAATATAAAAAATAATATATACTTTCTATAATTAATTATATTACTACTTTAATCCTAGCAAAGTAAGAAAATAAAATAGGCACAGAGGATTTATACAACTCAAATTTTGTCTTGCTTAAAGGCTGTAAAAGAGAACATTTACTGTGCAGTAAGAAGGACATTATTTCTTTTAACTTAGACTTCCATTCCATTTAAAAGAATTCTTTTGTATTTATTTTTTTCAGGCTGAGGGAGTGTACAAATCTAATTTGAATGACTGAGATGACTTTCACTTTTGAGCACTAGGTCTTGTACAGAAATTTTATAAATACATTACTAGAAATATTTCTTTATATCCAGATTGGAAAAAAAAAATCAATGAAGAACCTTTAGAGCATGTACAGCAAAAAGAAGATCAGAATGGAAAAGAAGTTTTGTGAAAAATGAAAGTTCCAGTGTGGAAAAAGGAAAGACAACATATAGAAATGTAGCTTTTTTTGGATATCCTAGTTATTTGCTTTGAAAACAATTTGAATTAAAAATGTAATCTTTCCTTAATATTTGGCTGAACAAAACAGATTACTCAAAATGTACAGTAGAGTGAGAAAGGAGAAACCATAGCATTTTCTGACATTAACTGGACATCTTCTTTTGTCATCTTTCACCACGCCTACCTCCTAATGTTCCCCCTCCACCCCATGTAATAGGTATGATGAATATAAAATAAGTTACAGAATTTAAAGCATTAACTATTATTATTATTATTACTATTAGTAGTATTATTTAGAACATTCATTGTAGTAGAATTAGAAAAGCAAGATCAGTAGAAAAGTCTTTCAATGTAAATTTTAAGACAATTTTACATCTTTAAAATATTAATATTTTTGTTTGTTTGCATTTTACAAATGAAGTTGTCTTCAATAAACAACACTGTTACTGTATTAGCCTTATACATCATTAACATTCTGTCTCATCTCTCAACCAGAAAAGGGTAATTTGTGTTTATAGCTGAACAACAAATATTTGTTAAATCTTACCTATTTAATACCTGCTGGAAAATTATATTGATGCACATAATATTTTCACTGAATTATGAGTATTGATCTATAAATATCCCCTCAGCCATTTAAAATACTCCTGCCATATACCTTCGCTATGTCCACTCCTTCCTTTAATACAAGAAACAAAGTCAAAAGAAACATGCTGAAGCCTTTAAATTGTTGAACACTAACTCAGTTACATGAATGGAAGTCACACTCCACAGACCAGCTTTGTCGAGTGTACAAATTGTTCTTGTATCTCAGTCATTTAATATTAACTATTTGCATAATTCAGCCATGTGTGGTGGCATGTTGAAACAGCATGACTGCGGAGCAGCTGTTTAAAAGGACTGCATAACTGATGCCAACATGTTTTTCAAAGTTGTAAACTCTGCAAAGATGTTGCCAAAGCAACACATAGACAGAATTTCTTGATGAAAATAACTCAAGCAAGTATACAGCAAATAAATACACCATCACAGGAGATTAAATTGTACATAAACAATGTTTTGACATTAGCAAATGGTGTTCCTATACTTAAACTGTGTTATTCTGTGGACCAAATAGCTGCACGTTTGAACAAGGCAAAACGCAAAAACTGTCACACAGATTTATTTCAGAAACAGAGTTGAAACTTGTATGTGTAGGGTCAAATTCTCTTGTGTCAAGATCCACTTGGCAGTTTAAAGTCTTCTCTACTTAATAGAATCTGTCCTGTGCTTGACAGCACTGTCTGTTTTCAGACTTGGAATAGGCTCTGGAGAGTCAGCTCTCACACAGGCTTCCCTTGTGACAGGAGGATTCTCTAATGTGAAGCTATAGCAAGGAATGACAGGGAGTGGGGGATTAAAAATTAGTCCACAACGAAGAAACTATTTTGACATCACAGCCAAATTTATCATGAAGATTTAGCTAAGGATGCCTTAATATTTGTTCTGAACCCCCTCCACATTTAAGAAAGACCTTAAGAAAATTGGCAAAATAAATAGCACAAGAAATACTGAATCTAATAGAATTACTTATATGTGTGCAGCTAAACATGGAAAGAAAATTGCCCCGACATATTTGCAAGAGATTTGCTGTTTTCAACAAATGAAATACTGAAAACAAAGCTCTGTCTTGAACTGCAGTAATTTTAACCATCTCTTTAGATTTCCCTGCTCCTGAACACAATCTTAATTCTTACTTTCTTTTAATTTTAATTTTCTTAATTCTTACTTACTTTTAAGGTCCAAACCAACAGTCATGAGTACCTGCTACTGCTGGCATGCTATCTTGATTCTATGAGTATTATTTTCCAATCCTAAAATCCAGCAAGTTGGTCTAGAAAGCTAGCAAGGAAACAGCAGCTCTGGAGATTGTACTTAGCAGAAATATGTGAATTGTTCCAGTGGGAAAAAGACCTTATAAAAGAAGAGGAAAATAGGCAGAGGGTTTAAAGGAGGGGGGAAGAATCTTTTGTGGAGAAGGACACGCACTAGTTTCAGGATAAGCTAAGTAGAGGAATATGTGAAGAGAAATGGATAATTAAAATTCTTCTATTTTTTACTGTGTCAAGTCCATGTTTCTATGTCCAGGCAGAGCTGTGCAAATTGTTTACTTACAATATTACCTTCAGTTACTCGATGCACTGTAGAAAACAGTGTTGCTAAAGCTCTGCATTTCCCAGTTTCTCTGGGTAAGTATTTGGTCTTTGCCATGCTGGCTCCTGGGCATATAAGCCATGCTACGCAAGCTGTGTGTCACTGTGTTGAGGCTTCCAGGTCTGAGGGCTTTGGTGAGCCAGACAGCAATCCTTCTTGGGAGGATTATAAGTACCAGCACCTCTGAGTGGATTCACACAGCTCCTCCCTGGGCTGGCTTTACACCTTTGGTCTCACTGTCACAAACTACGGGAACACAAGCACCCATTCACCACTTACGCAACATTCTGTGGGGACGTGGCAGTACGGATACATGGAAAACAATGCAGTTGGCAAAAAAAGGTGGGTTAAGATGACACAAGGGAAAAAGTAACCTATGCAGCTGGCACAAAAATAGTGCTTGTATATAATTAGTGCCACTCATACAAACAAGTATCAGGACTATATTATTAAATATTTTGAAAGTCTGTCCACAGCTACCTGATGAATTTTTGTTAAGGATGTTGTTCTGTGTACCAGCACAAGTCCCAAAAATCTAAGTAATGAGCTATGTGACACATTTAGTGGGATTTTACTCAAATTTAGAACACCTAAATTGCTGTTATCTTAACATCACTATCTAACCACAAGCTAAGAATCTAACATTCCATTATGGACAATGTAGCTTGGAAAGTGACTCCATTCAGAAGTGGGACACTATTGGTGTTGCAACATTAGCCTTGCTGATTAGGCTGCTGTTAACTATAAAGCTCAAAAAGATACTACAGACACCTTCATTTTGATACCTAAATTTAGTTGTGATAAGCTGAATCCATTTCTCACCTCACTCTCCTTATCATTTACTTTTCTCAGGCTTCTATTTCGCCTAAAACAACTTCCATCCTGAATAGCCAGTGTGCAATAATAATTCCCCTTGCACACAGATTTGAAGTATCAAATTATTTTCTTAAAAAGAACTGTGTGTTTTGAACAAGCTTTCACACCACAGATTATCTACTTGCCAAGTTTTCTAAAACATACAGAGATTCATACTTTAGGACAATCTAACACTCTGTATCTTACTTATGGATATCAATTCATATTTAGTAAAGATTACTTGAACTATAAAAGAATTATTTGAAAATTCTGCATACCTAACCAGAAAGGAGTTGGAATTGAAAGCAGATGCTTAGAATGAATGGATTGAGAACACTGAGAGTGACGTAGCAGGAGGTGAAGTAAGGTAACATGTATTGCATTGTAAATAGTATCAGGAGAAACTACTTGCTTATTTCCATTTATTTTTGGTAAGTTATGTCCAACAACCTTAGTTAAAAATAGCAAAAGCAATTTTGTGTGCCAATATACAAGCAGAGAAGGAGATATAAATGTTCTACTCAATGATCTTAGAGGTCTTTTCCAACTTTAGTGTTTCTATGACTCTTTATTTTGAAAAATATACAGACAAAGGATAGACAGCAGTCTTTTCCACAGTGTCCATTAATTAAAATGTTTTCTGGTTTGGCATATATCCCAAATTCTACCTTGCTAATTTGTTAGGCTAAATGCTGGTGCAGCGGAACTAACTGAAAATCACCAAGCTTTAAAATAGTGTTAAAGGAACCAAACCAAAGAAGTGCAAGAAATTTTTAAAAGGTAAAGTAAAAAAGAGCATTACCTGCTCATATTACTCATACTTCAGAAAATTCAGAGACTTTTTAATGATTTTTGAACTTAAAGTAAAAGTAAAAAATAAGCTGTAGGTTTTTAAAATAGATTTTACCTGTCTGTTATGGATAACTGAAATAGTACCTATTAGTTTTGTATAACAGATCAGGAGATCAGTTAATACAAGGGATAAAATTTGATTCCTTTAACTAGCAATGCAACTAGAAGATAAGCAAATGCAAAAATAAGGCATGCAATCATATAAAATATCTATGTATTTTGAATTAGATACTATAAAGGGAATTCTATTAATATTGGTTTTGATGTCCTTGATACATGCTCAAAGACAGCAGCTTACATCTTCCTAATTCAAAATTAATAGAATATTAAGTATTATAACAAAACCACGACTTACATTGTCAAAGCAAAATGAAAAAGAACTGTCTTATGTGAGAAATGACTGTGGCATAAAAAGGTGGTCTTTTACCATGTAATTGATGAAGTATGTGAGAGAAATGCCTACATTAAGCATTGTAATCAAGTATAGTATCAAGATAGTAATTTCATTTTTTTTCAGTGAATT